TTATTATTATTATTATTATCATTATTACTGTCTCTTATACACATCTAGATGTGTATAAGAGACAGCCCTCTGGCTAAACTACATCAGAGTTGGAAATGTACGATATTGAACAGTTGAAAAATATCAATGAATAAAATATTAATTGTTAAAGCTTGAAAAATGTTTCTTTTTTGTATAATAGTGATTTTAAGTATAAGTTATAAATTGAAGTAAAAGCGTTAATAAAACGACAAATTTTTACCTTACCTTTAATATCGATAGCTCTAACAACAGCAGTGAATCCTTTTTTTTCGTTGACTTTGTTTGGACTTTTGAAAATCACAGACGCCAAGTTTAAATATGTGAAAAATTCGATGTCATCCGTGACAACCGTATCAGAAAATCCCAAACGAAACAAGGATTCATAAGGATTCTGTCCAAATGTGATTTTTAGATTACCATAATCGAGATCGACATTGGTTATGTTGAACTTTATTTTGGTAGACGGCGGAGATGTTATCAGCCATACGCAATAAGTGTTAGGAAAAAAAGCCAGAGGATAGTTTGGAGACGTGAATTGAAAAACTTCCCCGACGTTTAGGTAGACGTTATATGAGCAGCCTATATTTAAAAAAATAAATAATCACAAATTAATTATTTAAAAAAAATATGCCGATATGCCATGCCTCTATTTTTTATGACATACCGTCATTATTAATCATACTTTATTTCAATTCCAATCAAAGAGCGAAAATACAAACCTATTAACGCAGTTAATAGTTTTTATGTTTGGTTAACACCAGATAATAATAATTTATAATATACGCGTTGACATCACAATCAATGTTACTATTCGTAGTATCGTAGAGAAATAGAACTTTATCTTTCTATAGGGTGACTGAAAATGATGTGCAATACTGTACTTACTTTTACAAACCATTTCATTAGTTTCACCTGCAGGAGAATATTCACAAGAAATCTGTGATCCAATGCCTGTGATATTAAAGATTTCCTGGCAACCGTTAACCACGCCTTCGCAGATAGCTTTACAAGGCACTACTTGAATTGTGTCGGTAATGCATGGAGGATATAGCCAAGAACATACTACATACAGAGCATGCGTATCACAATCTAGAAAACCACTAATTTCTTCTAAGTAATTCTCAGCTGTCTTAAAGGAATCAACGTGATTGTTTGGAATGAACGTTGTTATATAGGGCAAAACGCCGGTGCACTTGCCTTGCGGGATGTGAAGACAGCCAACTAAAACCACAAAGAGTTTTTGAAAATAAAATTACAATTATATACAATATATAGATTTTGATTGTTTTTATTTCATGGTCAAAGAAAAACTAACTTAATACAAAAATGAATCATCAAACTAGCACAAAAACACAACATCAAAAGATTTCATATAGCTAAACCAGTAAAATATCGAACGGCATAGGCGAACACGATAATCAAACATGGAAAAGTAAAACTTGCAAAAAAAAAAAAAAAAAAAAAAAAAAAATGGAAAAGTAAAACTTGCAAAAAAAACAAAAAAACAAAACAAAAAAAAAAATACAAAGCTATAAAACATTCACAAACGATGCAAGGAATACCATCAAACTTATCATTACCATCACTATCATCATCACCATCACAACCAACGTCAATCTGTTATCATAATGATTAATTATAATTATTCCAAACCACCTCTTAATGGCGTAACGTAACCAGGAGCTTTTCGGTGCCTGAAACCCCACTTTTCGTACAAACGTGAAAAAATAAATGTAAATGAAATAGAAAATAAATGGCAAAGTAAGCTACTTCAGACGTTAACAACCAATTTATGATGTAGTCAAACCATCAATATGCTTCATACCTATTTTTTTTTATCTTACGTAAATTTCTGTGATGTTTTATTTCTATTCACATAGATAAGATAAATCGCGTCGGCTGCGTATGGCGGTTTAACTCTGTCATATAAATATACCACAATTACACGTACGTACTCGGTGGTACAAAATGTGTCAAAATAATACGCGTTCTACACGTACCACACGTACTACTCGTACTACACGTACATAAGGATAGAAATACCGGATCAAGTCAGTTCGAGCAGATGCCATCAAGCGGCAACAAGCTATTTTGTAGGACTTATTACTTTTAAGGAATTTGTAAATTCTGTGCTTGTCTATTTCACCGGTTTCAATCTACTGTATTTATCAGAGGGCATGAATGTTTAAATGACAGGTACACTCACTAAATGAGATTTCATTGTACAGCGTTTGTTTAATGCAATTCAAGTAATCATGTATTTTAATATAGTAATAGATATTACTTTCAGGCACCAAGACCGGAAGAAAGACAAATAGTGTATATAAAGCTTTCTATGTTATAGTAATTGAAAATTTACATATTATTATCATTAACAGTAAATAATTAAAGTATTACCTCATAGTCATTCAATAATTGATTAATTGCATTATAATGATTACATCATTTTGTTACATGTATTGCTTATGTTGAATGACACACATACACCGATCATTAAAAAAAAACAACCGACTTGTTTTCTTATTTTAATCTAAATAATTAACCCCTCAATTTCCAACGTGTATATAGGCTCAAATCATCATCTGCTGGAACTGATTTGATCCGGTATTTCTATTTTTATCTTTATTCTATTTTTATCTTATTCTATTTTTATCTTTATGTACACGTGGTAAGAGCAGTGGTGGCGCCAAAG